AAGTCATGGCTACTTCCCACAAGTAAATCACTTTTTGCAACTGTGTTGCGATCATAGCGTATCACTGTATGTCTAGTAACGCGTGGCTTCCAATACACTACCTTTACTCATAGCAAACGACTTCAGCTAATAGTGGAGTAGTAGCTTTCCACCAAAGCTCTTCCATTATTTTACTCAATTCAGCCTGCACAATTGGGGTATACCCTTTTAGCCTCAAAGCAGGCCGAATGTTAATTACATGTAATTTTTATTCCGCGATGTTGGTTGTTTAACTTTGGCTTTTCTTCCCCAGTGAAATGTGTATTAAATAATACTCTTTTGAACTTCGTCTTTGTTGTGTCGTGAACTCGAAGAATAGATGATGTTTGTAGATATTCAAAATGTATTACAGAAACACACAGTCATTGACTGAACGAACCATCAACAAAAGAAGAATGGCGAGAGAGAAACCAAGGTCACTCATGCATGAAATAATGGGAGCCATAATACATTATGCCACATTTCCCCCTTTGAAAAAGAAAGATGTACATAAGCAAAGTACAAAGCAATATAAGCAAGCATAAATCACATTTGGTAATCTCTATGCCATTTTGGAGATACACGCATTCTAGAACTTTTACGAGGCAATTCAGAATTAACAGTGTCAGAATCATCATTAGCAGTGTTATCAACATCAGGTATCACAGTATCTTTAGAATCAGGTAAAGCATCATTTTGTACAGGGTTAGGATTAGCACATGAAGAAATTTTGGATTGATTGATTGGATTGATACGACCATCACTTGTAGAAAATGTAGCAGGACCATCCGACCATGTTCACTAGTAATATGTACAGGTTCTACGAACTTCATGTGTTCGTGTGAAGCAAGATTCTTGAATTGAATAGTATATTCTTTACTTGCATTTTGTTTCTTCATAACATGTTCATACACTTTTTTACTGGACCAGTCTTTCATCATATTATGAATTCCAGGAATATCAAGACCGGTTCTTTTTGTCTATTGTGTAGCAGAACAGAAGGAGAATGTCCAGTATATATAAAATAGTTGAATTGGATCTATCAACACAGCTGTACATTCAGTAGAGCAGTTTTCACAGCATTTCCGAATACAGCATTCCAACGTTCAATTTCACCAGATGCTTGGGGATAGTAAAGTGAAGAGTAACTATGTTTAATATTTATTTGACGTAAAAATTCTTCAAACATTTGTGATCAAACTTGTACACCATTGTCACTGACAATTTCATTGCAGGAACCTTCTTTGCAAAAAACAGTTTTCAAGAATTTTATCACAGTAGGTGTATCCACTTTCGAAGTAAACATAACTTCAGGCCATTTGCTGTAGTAATCAATCAATGTAATAGCAAAACGACATTCAGCAGGAGCACTTTCATTCGGACCAACAATGTCAATACCCAGCATATGCCAAGGTTGTTTAGGCGAAGGAACAGGTTTCAATGAATGAATACAGGTTTAGTAGATTTATCACGAGTATTGCAGACAGAGCAATGACGAATCATGTCTTCAACTTGTTTATACATACCTTTCCACCAGTATAGATCACGTAATATTTGTTTAGTAGGAACAATTCCTTGATGTGTCATGTGTGCAAGGTTAATCCACTTTGTAGTCAGAGCATTAGAAACAAGGATTCATTCACCTCGAATTATCAATTCTTTGTAAACTGTTAGCTCTTCACGTACATAGTAAAATGTTTGTAGAATCAACATCTTTTTTGTAATGCCATCCATTACAAATGTAAACTTTCATTTTAGAGAGTATAGCATCATTACGTGTAGCTTCTTGTAATTCAAATAATGAAATGGATAAATCAGTATTCGTAGTATTCAGAAAATTACACACAACATCATCTTCGCAATCAGCATTTTCAGTAGAATTCAAAGGTAATCTGTATAATTGCAATCGAACCCCCCCCCCCCCTTTGAATTTTCTGAAAAGTGAAAAAGTTGCCGATAACACGTGCAATTGCCTTCTGCTAAAATCGCCGTTCGTTTTCATCAACGCGGCATGTTATTTATGCCGTGAACGCCCTTCACACTGGTGTTTATTAAAATCACAAATTTTTGTCGCGGGAACAACGATAATTATTTTATTTGTGTACTCGCACGGAAATGTGAAAACTGAAAAAGCGTGCAATTGCCTTCTGCTAAAATCGCCCATGTTTTCATCAGCGTGTTATTTAGGCCGTAAACGCCCTTACGTCGGTTTTTATTCTTTCTAAATCATAAATTTGTGCCACGATAAACATGATAATTATTTTATTTTTGTACTTTGCACGAAATTGTGAATTTTGTTTGGTCGCCGTTTAGGAACATACCGTCACTAAAATCAAAACATGGTTAATTGTGGGTGGGATTTGCCTTTATCCATTACTTTTTAATTGTCGTAGAAAATTTTCGTGTTATCATTAAACAAGGTTGTAAACGCGATTTTTTCCCGGTTTGTGATGATATATCCATCAATTTTTATTGTACTGAAATAAATTTTACTCCATGAGAATTTACAGCAGATTTACGGATTTTTCAGGAGGTTTTATCTTTAAAAATAATCGGAGTGTCAGCATTGCGATTGAACGGAGTCAATGTTACAAGCACATCTCAAATTTGTCGAATTTGCAAAATAGAAAAAATATGGATCAAAACAATATATAATAGGCGACGGGCAGTTACCACAAATTTTCATGTCGGCAAATGGACGAGGTATTTTAAAATTGTGAATTGTAAAAAATTGTTTTGTTTTGTCGACGCAAACGCTGGTTAAATTGAAGACAATTAAATTAATGAAGCAAGACATTTTGAATATGCCCTTATCGGTCACGAATTGATTACTTTGCACAACAGAAAAATCATTTTTCGTTGTAAACGTCGGCTCTTTTAACAAGTGGCGTAATCGCGGCGATGAATATGCATTTTTGATTTAACGATATACTTCATTTGCATTTTCATTGTACGGAATAAAATTGTACTTTTCGGGATTTTATATCAGTTATTGAGATTTTTCTAACGGCGATAACTAGTTGGCAAGATTCCAAAAATACGTATTAAAATTAAATACACCGTTTATCTCATATTTTTATGTCCACCAATCGCCGTGGCATTTCAGAGAACTAATGTTTTAGTTTTGACGTAAGAACACAATTTGTTGGACACAATTAAACTAATATATAAAGACATTTTAGAATTTTGTAGTTGTCAGGGTTTGAATATTTCACGCGACAAGAATAATCATTATACGCTGAAAAGACGTCCCTTCAACGAGCGCGTAATGCCAAGACTGTTACAGACCGCAAAATGGGAATTTATGATTACGAACCCCCCCCCCCCCCTTTGGAAAATCCTGGCTGTGCGCCTGGTAGTTGGTATATCCCAAGTCGTTGGTATATGCATATGATAATCTAATCAGAAACAGGATAGCCCTACCGTGTTTCTCCGAAATAGAACCTACCCTGAAAATAAGACCTAGCTTGAATTTTAAGGAATGATTTTAATATAAGCCCTCCCTTTAAAATAAGACTTAGTCAATAACGCGATTTTTTTAACTGGTCGATAGCAAGAAATCTCTTCCATACGTTATAAATGATTAATCTAAAACGTGTGAGAGAGGAAAACGTGTCATTTAAGTAAATGGATATCGGTTTCAATATTTTTCCATATTTGAAAATCACCTAATTCTTTCTAATTTTGTTTTTGATAAATGAAATTATAAGACATTACCCGAAAATAAGCCCTAGTGGTATTTTTCGAAAAAAAATTGAAATAAGACACTGTCTTATTTTAGGGGAAACACGATAAATGCTACTACAAAAAGGTAATATTGTATTTTGACGGACTTTGGAGTATGGTATTTTGGTACACCGTGAGCATAAAATTGGAACCCAGTTTATTTTTAGACGAAAACTCGTGAGTAGGTGAGTCATCGCCATATGGTGTCTGAATCGGAGGCATTATCATGGCCACTCAACCGTGGTGAGATGAGAGATCTCGGATGCAAATGTTTATTTCTGGGTATGGGATCAAATCAAATTTGGATGGGAATTTGGCATTGAAATTTATTTGGCAAAAAAAAAAAAAAAAAAAAAAAATTTGGATGGGAACTAATCAACTATTAATTCGATCAATTGGCAATTACCGTATCTGTATATAGAATATCGGTATTAGGTACGGTACCGTGAATTTGGAATGACTATTATCTATTATCATTATATAGGTATCATTATACCGGTAGTTAGTAAATCTATAAGTTCAGCAAGAACGCTCGTTTTAGAATTTGTTGTACCGGGATAAGCTTTTCATGTTTATGCCATGGAGATAAGAGTTAATAAAATGACTTAATGCTGTAGAGATAGGATAGGATTTACAGGTACCGGTACCTGCTTATTTTTTTTACAGTTTCCCGTCTAACCGAAAGCCAGCTTAATCATATCTTGGTGAACCACGGATTCTCTTAGAGCTGTACCGTAATGTTACTGTACCCTACCAGTCCATGTCGGGTATGGGGTTACGGAAACGTGGACTTGACTACGATGGCGAAGTGTTCAGCGCAATCTTCTCGCACATAACTATCCACACATGGGATTCAAACTTGCAAAACTAGGTCTCAACCCAATCAGAGGTTTTGGATGAGCGTATTTCTACCACTTAACACGATCTGACAATGCACCAGACATAATAGTTTATTCCCATGGGATTTAAGTCTACGCAGGTCGTCCATGGGAATGCGAGGTCTGAGGTAGTGTGTTCTAATGATTGGAACAATGCTGCAATGTACCAACCTTCAAGCCTTTCTGTGAGACACACTGTATTTAAATGTGAAATGTACATAAGAGAAAATATTGGAATCTCAGTGTTAATTTACCATTTTTAGTTCATAAAATGTAACAAATTTAAGATATTTTTAAAAACTTAAGAAATATCAGTTGTGAGGTTGAAAACTATATTTGTGTGTCTGTTACATTTATGCTTTTGATAAACTTTTTGATATTATAGGATTATGTTAACGTAACATAATAGTATTTAGATCACATACATTTTATACTAAATACGTCACTGGGATAACGTTACGCAAAAAATAGAGATTCCAGAGTTCGAAGATTTCAATTTCAAATATATGGATATATCAAATATTTTATAAATTATCAGCAAAGAACAGTGACTTTCAAACTGGTTTAAATATCCAACCTTTTAAAACTCATCAAACACGTGGAAAAACTAAATAATATTCATATATTTTGACTTATCAACACTATGCCTCCATTTGTGAGGGTAAAACTGGTTAAGACGGAGCCAGGACCTAATTTTGTTCAGAATGGGGAACCATTTGATCCGTTTGTTGCAGTGAACGTAAAGGAGTGTATTTTCCAAGAAGGTTTGTAATTATTTAAGTCTTTATTTATTTGTTGTCAATTATTTTGTCGCGTTTTATATTGATTGGGGAGTCGAATATGTTAGGGTTTCTCAAAATCTTCCATTTAGTTTAATTATTACAGGATTGTAAGACTCATTAAACACAACGCAGGTAAAAGCTTCTTTACCTAAATTATTTCGACCTGTTGTTATTCAGCCTCATCTTGAGACCGTTTCCAGTTGAAGCTTGTGCTGTCGTTAGCCCTTTTGTCTTTACAATAAATTTATGCTGAAGTTTCATAACTATTTCTTGATAGATACATATATTCAGGATAGGATAGGATTTACATATTTATCCCGGGGGAGAGGAAAGGCGATAAGACGGCTTATCCATATGGCGAACCACGGCCTCTCGTCCGGTTACCATTCCAAGTCGGGTATGGGATTAGTTTTACTGTATTGTTTGTTTTCGGAAGCACGGACTTGGTGGTGGATTTTTCTGTTATGGTATTGCATGCTAATTTTTTAAATCATTGTACACTGTGTGAGGTAGTTAGTGGATATGGGGTCTGAACTCTATTTTTTCCAGTTACATAGTTAATTCCAATTGTATAGTTCTAATGCTCTAACTACTAGGCCAGTGTTTTTCAACCTTTGTCTTTATTAAATTCCCTATTTCGCCTATTTTCCAACTCTTTTTTTCTCTCTCCTAGTCCTAAAAACTATTCCATTTGTTCAATCTTTATTAGATCTTTAGCTGGTGTTATGTACAAGTCGTGCAAGTTTATTACATTTAGGTTTGCATAAATGAGTATTATATTAAATAAAGAAATAAAAAATGTTAGTAATTCTACCCAAATACGAAGCTAAATTGCCCCAAGAATGACAAAATCACCCTCTGGAAGGGCATTGGGTCGGGAAACATTGTACCCATATATGTAACAAAAAACGGCTTTTTTTCTTTATCCGGTTTCTTATTTTCTGATCTCATTTCTCCCAGGTCGTGGAAGTCAGTTAGTACAGAAGAAGAAAACTATTTATCCAGAATGGAATAGTTGCTTCGATTCACATTTGAAAGATGGCAGAGTTATACAGGTGAATATATCAGTTCTGTATTCTGTAGTATTCAGATATTTTACAATTCACTTTATTTAGAATGCTATTGTTATAATCTATATCCAGATTTTATCATTTTGTCGAATAAAACTGATTTCTAATCTCAATTTGATATCTGCCCCCTCCCCTTTGGTATGATATTATTCTCTGACCAGAGATGCGTAAAACTGAATAAAGTATTATTATAAATTTTGAAGAAATATTCTTGCTGGTATCGATGATGACGAAATGCTGTTTAAATTGCCATGTTCAACTGAGAACAAGTAAAAAATGATGTGTAGCCTTTAAGATTGAATTATGTTGGAAGTTAGTTGAGCATGATTTAGACGGGCCACAGCACAGCAAAACTATTCTCTGTTTACCAAGATAATTAAACAGTATTGTTGTGACTGAGAAATAGGATTAAAAGCCCAAAATGATAATTTACATATCAATCCAAGAATTTATAATCAGGTAAAATATACTTCCAATCTCCACAGTGGCGCAACCAGCGGGGGGGTTATGGGGGTCGTGTCCCCCCCGTTGGAAATTCGTTTTTTCATTATTATTGTTCTACGTTCAAACAACGTCGTTCTACGGTCATAACAATCCGGTGAAAACTACTTTTTTCCAGTGCTTTATCACCTCGACGTAATTTAACACCGCCCGACTTCAATCATATCTTTTTGCTGTTAGTTACGTAATAATCGCTATCCCCGCGTATATGTTTGTATTCGAAAATGAGGTATGTTACCTCAAAAAAGTGGAATCGCGCGCTGTCGATGCGAATTTAAAGCGACAATAGCATAATGCTATCTCTCTCTCTCTTGTGACGAATACTCTCGTGCTTCATCATCTTGACGCAATGTAACGCCGCCCGTCTTCATGTTATAATAATGCAGTAGAAACTCTGAAAATCTGGATACGAAAATTATTTTCGGAAAAATATTGCTTCGATTAACCTAAGATTTTCTACACATGAAAGGCCGAAAATCGAAAACGCCGTACACATCCTACCGCCCCCATCCACGTTCTGAATTAAAAACATTTCACAATTATTTCATTTTTTATCGCAATCGAAAGCAGCCATGTGTGGCAGCCAGTCGTCGTGAAAGGTTTTCAATAAACTCCGACTTGAAGTGCTTATAAGACGTCGAGGACGTTTTTGGTTGAAAATTTTATACATTTGTTATCGTATATTTCAATTTAGTCAAGATATGTTGTGCGCCCCGGCAATAAACTTAAAAGCATATCCTGCCCTAATTAATTGTTTTCGTCCTCAGTTTCGATAGTTATCGAACTTAACGAGAAATTTTTTAATTTCTTGCAATCTATAAAATAGCTTCTAAATATTATTTGGTTTCTATCGGAGATTTTATCGTTATCCCGACGTCGTTGATAACAATATCGTTCATTTTAAGTTGGAGGTATTGGTTTATAATCAAAAAATTATAACACATAACATGAAAAATTCAAATCAACGCCGACTCGAAAAGTAAAACACGTTTTTCCATCTTTATTCTACCATTATTGGCGGACGGAAATTTGGGAATCGGGTTTAACTAATTTGATTATGATGACGATGGTAAACATAAGTACACAAACATACCATACCGTTCTTAGTTTTTAGTCGTTATTTCTCTGTCTTTTCGTCTTTCTATGTGCATATTAAGACCATGAAACGTGTTTTATTTTTGAACTCTGCGCTGATTTGAATATTTCATGTCGGCTGTTATGTATTTTTGTTTGTAAATGAATACCGCTAACTTAAACTGAACGATGTTGTTATCAACGCCGGATGCCGACGAAATCCGCGATAGATATTAAATACTATTTAAGAGCTATTTTATACGCGCTAAATTACAAGAAATGAAAAAATTTCCTGTTATGTTCGGTCACTATCGAAACTGAGGATGAAAACAACTAATTAAGACACAATTTGCCGAGGACGCCTAAACCATCTCGACTAAGTTAAAATACACGATAAGAAAATATTTTCAATCAAAAACGTCCTCGAAGTCTTATAAGTTCTTCAAGTCGGCGTTTATCGAAATTCTTTCATGTCAGCTGTAATATATTGCCGAACCACGGACGACGACGCTAGGATATGTGCGCCATATTCGGGATTATTATAAACACGAAAAAACAGTATTTGAAGTTTGCGATATTTGAATTTAAATTTGATTTGGACATCCCTGCATTAAATTAGTCAGTTTTTAGTTGTGTTTCCAAAAATTAGTTGTAAATCAATGATTTTAATTGTCATTGTGTCTTCCGGTGAGCTTCAGTTTAGTTTAGAATTTTTCTGGGGTTAGGGTCGGGAAAAGGTCCATTCGCAAGAAGTGCATTTTGTTTTTAGTCTTGACGAATTCACCCAACGAGCAAGGCGCGGCACGTTAGCAATTCGCTATAATGTAATGAACGGAGTTTTGCTACCCACGATGTGCAAGACATAGCGAAGCGCCGTTAATGAACGAGTGCAAGGTAAGCGAAAGGCTGGGATTTAATCGATGCCGTTTCCCTTTTAACCACGAGCAATTTATCGTGTTTCGGCGGGGCGACACCTAGTGGCGTTGCGACTTACGTCGTGGTTGCACTGTGTAAATTCCGGTCGGAACACCCCCCCCCCCCCCCCGTTGAAAACGGCCTGGTTGCGCAACTGAATCTCCACCCTTTGACATTTAACCCAAGAGGTGCGACTATCTATTCAGATTGTGACTCTACAAAGGCCAAACAAGATGCTGGCTGAGTGCAATATAGGATTACAAATACTTGCTGATAAATGTAAGAAACAAAGCATGGGAGGAGCAGGAACAGATGTTTGGGTGAGTTGTTGTATCCTACTGTGAAGTGATAGATGTTTTCCCAAGCAAAGATTTCCTCACCTAATTTAAATTTATGCCGCCTCTTATACACTGCTCTTGCTCAGACAAATAATCAAGCATGTGTGTAAACGATGCCTCAATATACGATTGTAGTTTTGAATGTTAGAGCAGCGGTTCCCAAACTATGGGTCGCGACCCACTGTTGGGTCGCAAAAGGAGTCAGTGGGTTGTGAAAAGATGTGGAAAGCTTTGATTAATTATACTGGGTATTAGGATCGGTGCCGACTCGAATACGTAAATCTTCAAAAAAAATAAATAAAATTAAATTTAAATTCTAATCTCTTAAAGTTTCCTTTTGCCAATCTTCTCTGAGGAACAAAATTTGCTACACAAAGAATGACCATGTGAATTTTTTACGCATAGCAGTTTTGTACACTGTACAGCATGCACTTCTTACCGTGTTTCCCCGAAATTTAGACAGGATTTAGATTTATTTTTAAGAATAACTCTAGTTTTCTTTGGAAGAGGCCTTTTGGGTTCATTTATCAAAAATAAAATTACATTGTAGAAAATCACGAAATTTTAATGAACGTTATATAAAAACCGACATCCCTTGTTTTTATTTGTATTTCCTATACAAAAATCAAGTGACAAATAGCATAATTGTGATATCACACAATCTTGAATAGTGGTGTGATCTTCACATTACCTCAGGTAATTGAACCTTTCCCTCCCACACATGTTAAATTTATTTTAAGGGTAGGGTTCAATTAAAATCATTTTAAAAATTCGAATTAGGTTTTATTTTTAAGCCAGGTCTTATTTTTGAGGAAACACGGTAGTTTTGCGATGATTAGCCATTGCTGTGTTCTGTGTTGTGTCAATTTGTTTCCTCCATCAATGTGTTAATAAATAGTGGGTCGCAACTCTAAAAAGTTTGGGAACCACTGTGTTAGAGTGTATTTTTTTGAAACCTCTCTAAAGTCAAATTGAAGGGAAGAAATCTGAAAAGCGTGAATTCAAATTAATTTGGCACAAAATGAATTTTCATAACGTAATACATATATGTTGATAAAAAAGGAAGCACAACCAATGGGGACTATTTGTTTGAACTTGTGATAGTTTGTTTATTTATACATATTATCTTATCATCATCCTTTTAGATTAGAGGTGACGCCTTGATAATTTTTTCATATTTTTTCTTTTCCTGCTCTATCTATATCCACTTGTGTCCTTTCCATATCATGCCCTGATGAAGTTTTTCTGTATAGAAATTCAAAACGCCGGCAAATTACATCGTTTTGCTAAGACCGGTTGTGCTTCATTTATTATCAACATGAGTTTACCTGGTGGCAATCATGCACTAGTCATACATATAAATTTAACACACATATAAATATAGGTAGAGTACCACTGATCTGATCTATTTGCATATAATCCCACCCTTTTGACTTGTGTGGGATTTTGTGTGTACCGACGTTACAATTTGTTCTTCTTTTCTTTGTTTTTAAATTCTATATTTAGCTTCGAGGTGGGCGTCTGGGAATGTGCGATGTAAAGTTATTCATGTAATGTTTCTGGTGATTGGACATAAATGAAATAAGTTTAATATTAGAGGAAAAATTTAGACATTACGTTTGGAACTTGTTCCCATCTCTCCTGTCTAATTTTATTATCATTCCAAACTTATTTTGTTCAATTCCTCCCAGCTATTTTGAAACCCTTTATTCTACCCTCACTATGCATGGAAAGCATTTTTTAGAATAAATCCCCGCTTTTGTACTGTTTAGGTGGTTTATAATGTGTGCATGAATAAGTGTTATTGTAATAATAAAAAACTGGAGAATATTAGTAATATTACAGCAAAATTTCTCCCCGGTTAGGAGTTAGGATACATGGCTTCAAATCTTCGGTCATGTATTTAGGAGTTTGAATGTTATATATGGAAACATTCAGCTGAAGTATATGGAGGTAACTAATTTTGTTCGCTTACTTTACATCAAGTTGTGTAAAAGGGACTGAAACCTATGGGCAGGGGATATTCACTTGGCTAACACAGATAGTACTGAACTTGTAATAGAACTAAAATAAGGAAAATCAGAATAGGATTATGACCTAACCCAAACTTGGTACACTTATTACGGGAGTACCGAAAAATTCAGCAGAAGTAGGGTAAACATAAAGTACCTTTCTATATATAGGCTCGAGTCATCTAACGTAACACTCAAGGCTACTTGTTTATTGTGTCACCAATGTTATGCATTGTTCTTAGTATCACATAATGGCAGGGTTTTCCTTCTTTATTTTCGTATACCATTTTTCGCCTACTATTGGTTATTGGTTATATTGGATCAAATCCTATTTCAAGCCTGTCAATATTAGGTATCTGCAATATATACAATACCCAACTTTTTCATTTACTCTAATAATTTATTGACATATATAAAAAGTTTCTTAAAAACTATTAGATTACTGAAATAAAGTTTCTAAATATTTCAAAATTCTAAAATACTGTCAAAGGCTCTATGTAATCCTATTTAAATTGCACTAGTACAGCTGTAATGTGTTTATATTCACATTTATCAAGCCATGGATAGATGTCATGAGTACTCTTATACAAACGTATAAATAATTTAAAGTATGAAATTTGATTAAAGTAATATATGCATAGTTTTATGTTTTCTGTCTATGTCATTTTAGGCTCTTCTAAAGAGAGATAGATACATGAAAATATCCCAAATATGATTTTTAAAATACCTAAAATGTTTTTAAAGGTTACTAATATACTGTGAAAGTTTGAAAGTTATCGTATGACTTACGTAGTTTTTTTGTCAAACAATATTCACACTCAGAAACGCTCTGCAATGGTGTCATGTAGGCCGCCACATTAGTTGGCACTACTTCAATTTCATCGCAGTAATCAAGACATTTTGATGTTATTTACTAAATTGCTAAATTCAAGTTTTGGTAATTTGAAGATTTAATTTGAAGTTATATCCTACATTTAATACAATTATTTAAATGCAATTTACTGCCTACAATTTTCACAAAGTTTTAAAATCATGTGATATAATTCTTCATATTCTATTTTTAATACAATTGTAAAAGGCTTTCTTATTGAACATTATTCACAATCTACATTAGCAAAGAGTGATAGGTAAGCGGCATTGATGATTTATACCAAGTGGCAACCAGTTTCTATTTGTACAATGCTATCACTGGATAAAGTTAGTTGAGTCAACATTGCAAGCTATTGTATGCTGAGGTTAATGAAGATCACTCTGTGTTCTACCTTGTGAAACCTCCTTTTTATGAAATAGTTTCTGACTAAAATTTTGAATATCAAAATACAAGTGATCTAACCTAGGGTTGTTCAAAATGAGTTATATACTCGCATATATGCCGAGTTGAAACTAAAAATAAATTTGCCAAAGTAAGGGGGGTCGGCCTATACGTGAATAACTCTGATCGCACTGATTCTCCTCTACAACCATTTGTTGTGATAGGTGCAGTGTGTTATAATTTGTAGGGTCAGCTTTTATCATATTCAAATTTTTATGAATTCACCGTTCTAGTGGATAGGCTTGAATGCGGGAATATACAATATTCATTTTCTTTTATTAGGAGCTCACAATTTCATTAATAATTTTTTCTTTAAAGAATTATTATTTCGAGAAATTGAAGTTTGACAGTAAGATCAAAAATGCCTTTGTTTAATTTCCAAAAAAATAGAATTAATTCATCATCTTGACTTTTCATCTATATTTAAAAAACAACAACAAGAAGTTCTTTATTTAATTTATGAAAACCGTAATGTTAAAATCATCGTTCATCGTATCATCATTAAAATCATCCTTTTTTGTATATCATGTCTACTTACTCACTCAGAATGTGAAAAATTGAGAGGTTAGTGTCAAAAATAGCACAATGTTACACATTAATAATGGTACACATTGATATCTTTCAAAAAAGTGTTAGATTCCTATAGCTATATTTTGTTTTAATTTTCAAACGAGAAATATTTCAGTTCTATTTAAAATTAGTAGATTTTAGACCATTGGTGGTCAAAATGAAGTATTGTGTTAGCTTCCCTTGGATACCCTTTTCCAAACTAAAGAGATTTTGATTCTTCTGAAATTAGTACATTTTAAAAAATATTGTTTTGAAACACTGATTTTATGCAGAACTTTCGTTCAATGGAAGGTAGGAAATTACCTCATAAAAAGTTACGTGTGAGCTTTTCATGCTTTATCTACTTTCTATTTGTTTGTTTCTCTTTGTGTGGGCGTAGGGATTAAATTTAGAATTAATGGGACAAAGTTTGTTTTCCGCGGAATCCATGGTGGGTCATGTTCACGATTTTATGACTACTTTCAATTTGGAAGTTTATTTTTCTATTTTTGGAATGCAAACATGATAACTAACTTGAAGCGTCAGCTGAGAATTTAATTTCAACCACTTAATTATGATTCAAACTGATGGACTAAAAATTTAGGTTCGATGAATTAAATACCATTTGTGCTTATTCGAGCATAAATACAGTGTTTTATTGAAGTCTCTTTTCTGTTATCACCTCAATATTGTTGGATATATTTTTGAAATTGTATAGAGACTTTAGAGAATAGGACTTTATTATGATATAAATTTTTTGAAATTGTAACTTTGTGGCCACGCTGTATAAGCAGACCAATTAGGTATGAAATATAAGACAATTTGATTTGTTTTTATTCTTCCTTGGTTATTATATTTTTAAGCAAAATGTCAAACCAATTATTAGTCTCTTTGCAGTCACAACCATATGGTTATTAAAAATTTTGAGTGGACGTATGTAAAGGCTAGCGTCACACTTCTTACCAAGTTCCCCTGATTGTGGATGATAAATTTATATAAATGGTAATCAAAAATAGCGTTGCCAATTCTGCAATTAGATACAAAAATCAAAAATAAAGTTCACTGACTAATTGGTGTTTGAAATAAACAAGATTTGTCTTCAACATAAATTTCTTTGGGTTTGTCGAAGATTGCCTAGTAAGTAAGACTAATAGCAGATGAAGGCAATAAATTTGTTTTTATTTTTTTCTGGCAATTGGATCATCAAGCAAAATGTCAAACCAATTGATAAGCCTTTACATCGCCAATTCTACGAAAGCCTCGCTAATCCTGGATGATAAATTCATACAAGGCCATCAAAAATAGCGTTACTAATTCCGCAAAGAGATACAAAATCAAAAAATAAAACTCACCAATTGTGGTGGAAATAAACAATATTTGTCTTCAATACTTTTTTTTTGACTTCGTTGAAGATTGCCAATAAGATTAAATTTAATAGGCAAGCGAAACGCATTTGTTTTTAATTCTCCCCGGTGATTAAATCTTGAGAAAAATGCCAAACCAATTAGTCAGCCTCATTTTGGCCTCAACTATTTGAATATTGGGATGATTTTATCCGAGCAAATGCAAATACTAATCATTAAAGCGAGTGTTGGATTATTTTTTCCAGCTTCCTTAATCTTGGATAATAAATTCATATAGGGCTAACAAAATACCAATTCCATTTCCGTTGTTTATAAAAAAAACAAAAATAGAAATCACCAACTGAATTGTTGGTTGAGATCTTATTCTTTTATTTTGATAGACGCATTTTAGTGTTCAACCATTGCTTCACTTAGGAGTCATTTTTAAAAAATTCTGATTGAGTTCTCGTGACCTTTTTTGAGCAAATTTATTGAAAACATCTGAAGACAAGTACCCATTGCTTTGCCTAGGGGTGATCTACTTTAAATTCTGTTTGGATTTTCGTAACATTTTTGGAGAAGTTTTACTAGAAGTACAGATTGATAAAATTTGCTATCATGCTTGTTGCTAGGGATGTAGCTTAGGTTTCTGAAGGACTAACTACTTATCCTCCTTCTACTCTTTTGGGACTGTGCAGCTGTATGCATAATAATGCAAGAATGAAGATACTCATCCTAAGTGATTCAAGAGTTTTTCTGCGTACCACCACAAACATATTTAGGAACTTTTGGTCAAACGTATGTCTGAGAAAGTAGCAATAGAGAAGATGAATTTACTGATCAAATATTAGAGTATTGCCGCATACTAACACAAATATAATTTTTCTAACTCTTTATCTGACCAAAGGCTATTCAGCAATACTGGTTGAATGAAGCTTAAAACAATGCTTACTTGGCCATACTATTAGATTCTATTTGCTCAATTTATAAATTATCCAGAAAATGGACAATTTGAAAAAATTGGATATGGCCATATTATGATTATATTATTAAAATCCAAGTGAAGAATTATAAAAAATGTCCTTGATTATTGATTAAACTGACGTAAATACAGACGATATGTCAACACTTAACTTGATCAAATAAACAGTATTTGCAAAATTAGTGAATTTCTTTATTTATCATCCAATATGGGCCGATGATAACAAGCAGACAATCGATAAAAATAGCTCTGATAATTTATTGACAGGGAACAACAAAACCGAATATATATTAATATATAATGATATTCTATTAAATACATTCAGAAATAATATTTTTCAATCTGTAATAACCAATATATTGTAAATTGAATTAGACCAGTAACACTCATATTTTATCTTTGACAAACAGTTGCATTTTCACTCTCAGAATTAAAAAGCTTAAGTAACAAATATTGAATTGGGTCAGCTCAGTAACATCTACATTGTGATTTATGGTAGTAGACATGTAGTTCTTTAAAACCACCTGCATGTTCAATATCAACATAAAAGTCCAGTAAAAATGTCTTCCTCTACTAAATTTTTCAATTGATTTACTTATACTAGGAAATTGTGGTTTATATATCCCAAACATGGTGACAAAATTAAATTACAATTTACAATCAGAAAGAATATTTTTGCATATGAGAATACATATATGTAAATTAAATCAGGCCAGTAACATCAACATTTTGCCTTATGGTAGCTTCTGGCAAACAGTTGTATGTTCATCATCAACATGACGGCCATTGATAATAAATACTTTAGCTTTGATTTATTTCAAGGGTTTCGTTCTTGTTAGTTTCAAGACTGTTATTTTTCATCATTGAAGTTAACTAGGGTTTCCCCATCTGGGGTTTATGGCCCAATGAATCTACAGAAAGATATATGGCAATTTAAAGGTTCAGCATCATATTATATTAAAATGAAAAACATCACTATGACGTGCTGACGGCCATTCTCTGCCTGTACGAGATTAAATACTTCATCTATGATTAATTTTAAATGGTTTTGTTTTTGTCAAATTCAAAACTGTTATTTTTAATTGAAGACTGAACATTGCTGTGGTCAGTATTCTCTAGTGTAGAAAGTAATTTCATTTTGTCGACTGTCAGATGTCACATGCTCAAAATGACAATTTTCTGAATGAAAATATTAGCAATAGCAAAAATATATTGTATCGAATAAACCCAATTTTAATTGCATTTAAATATTCGATTTGTTTTGGCATCCCTTCTTGTGACCTTTAAAATAATAAACTGTGTTTGGTTATGTTAGTGAATAATGCACATACATCAGTTACCAACGTTAGGTCGACTCATTTCCTCAATGCGTTAGAAAAGCTTTACTGTGTACTGTGACTCACGCTATAACCTAGTCATCTGTATTGCGGTGCATTATAGGGTATATCTGGTATCGATGGGCTCAATTAATATAGAATTCCTGAATGAATGTCATATATATTGTGAGAAATGTTTTCAAATAAATGCATATTTGAACAAAATTGTCAAAAGTTAAGGCAAAATCACAGTAACGTTGTTTTACTATGCAATTCAAGAGTCCTGCCGAACACTAAAACAGTACACTCTAAAATACATCTGTGGTATTGTGCAGCAGACCTATTAATTTTTATAATATGGTCTCATTTATCCCAAAAGTTAGGACCATCATTCAAAAATTATTAATTGATCGAACAAGATCTAATATATCAATGGGCGTGGTGAAACCTCAGCAAACTAAGTTTATTTGTATCAAAGATAAATAAAGCACAACCGGTGTATAGCAAAACGATATAATTTGCCGACGTTTTAAATTTCTATTCAGAAAAACTTCATCAGGGTATGATATGATGGAGTACACTATCGTATATAAATAGTGTACTCTTCATATCATGCCCTGATGGAGTTTTTCTGAATAGAAATTCGAAACGTCGGCAAATTATATCGTTTTGCTATACACCGGTTGTGCTTTATATATCTTTGACATGAATATACCTGGTGGCAATCATGCGCTAAGTTTATTTGTATTTAACACATGTGCAATGAACCATGCAGTTACAGTTTGTTACATCACAATAGGATAAAAATAATTGGCACCCTGTGTAGATACTTTGGTTCTTTGGAGATAAATTTAATGATCCAGATAATGCATAAGTTTTGATTTACTTTACAAATATATGGTAAAATAACAAAATGGTTAATAGTAAGACTGAAAACTGGAATACTCGATGAAATATCTGGGGATTACACAGCAATCGGTCCCTACTAAGCTTGATGAGGTTAATGCGTTCAAAATCAGTAAGAAGCAAGGGTACTTCCGTAGTATCTAAACCAAGATGGCGGACACTGGAATGTAGTATGTGTACCAGGCTAGGGTTAGGCCATAATTTCAGGTACAATGACTACGAGAGTCACTTGGCTAGTCCCCGAACTCTTAGTAGAACTAAAATAAGAAAAATTGAAATAAAATTATGGCCTCTAACCTGGTACACATACTACGTTTCGGTGTCCTCCATCTTGGATCACATACTACAGGCGTATCGAAGCGAACGATAGCAAAGAGAAACTTGCAGTTTGTTACGAAATGTCTTTGGTATCTGTCATCGGTTCCACTCTAGATGGCATGAATAATGTAAAATTAAATAGAAACTGAACAGGGAATGGAGGACTTGCAAACTTATTACACCAACTGTTCCCAAAGATTTAGATGCTACTTGCCGGAATTTCGCAAGCTGCAGTTTATTTATCTGTTGAATCGATTTTAGCAAACATGAGTGATTTTTTTAGCATTTCAGACTAAATTTTAAGACTTGACCTTTTGGCTTTATTATTTATGCTTGCATTTTTACAAACTTTGAAAGGTATGAAGTACACATTAGCGATCACAAAATTGGGTTTTATTTGAAAACATTTTTTTTTTGTGCAAGTACTTCGTGAGTTTTTTCACTGATAATTTGTCGTCACTCAAACAAAAAGTTTGCGAACCGCTGTACTACACAATATTCTAGTGCCTCTGTCATCAAATGCCGGCTTAATCATAAAAGCGACCGAAATTTGACTTTTTCTTCCGTTATGCAAATCTGAGTTGTCTTATTTTTTTATTTTAGTTGGATCTCAAGCCAGAAGGAAGACTACTGGTTCAAGTGAAGCTATTCGTAGAGCAAGAAGGTGAGTTCTGGAGTATTTTAGACTATCTAATTATCTAATTTTTGCAAAATGCCTTTTTTGTATTGTAGATAAGGTGACTCTAACTTGCTCGTTTCAAATGAGTTGGCTGTGCAATTTTAAGGTTCTCAAAAAATTCCTATGTGATTTATTTGTTCAATTTGAAGCAAATGGGTTATTAGTTTGTTTTATGGAATTAAAAAACATGTCATTTCCCATAGACGAATTCCTAAAAATTTACTGAACGATTAAATCGAGCATTGAGTGAAATATATATTGAATCAGGATAGTTATTTTAAGTATCCTAATGCCGCACTGCAATGAATACATCATTGCCTGAGGCATTTTCGCTTGGACCTAATGTAAATAAAAGTTAAATGTTTATAAAGGCAAAAACAACTTCAATAGAGCACAAGAGTTTTGCTTGAAATGATTAATCTTAACCTACACATTTCATTAATATAAACAATTCTAGATGTCTTGCAACTGGAATTTAGATAGACAAATTTAAAAAAAAAAATATTAAAGGTGTTTTCACTGAAATTATGTTTTTTTATTATCCAGTTTTTTCAAGTATAGTACACAACCTAATCACTGTGACTGTGACATTGTTAGAAAACATCAGTAAAATCAACTGAGATTTTAATGCGAGAACATAAAGCACAAATTTTCAACAGCACTTATACTCCTAACAAGGCATCATGCAACCGAACTCTGATATGTGAGGAGCTAAGGAAGATTTGCATGAGATTTGAAATGTAACCTGCCATACCAATAATCAATATAGTAACATAATACCAAATAACAGTTTTGATGATGCCTCGCTATAATAAATCAATTATTTACAGTTGACAATGGGCAAATATTATGAAATTTTTCAAATTTTTTGTCTATTACTAGTATTGGTGCAGGAAAAATGCAAGCGTACATTATGGCACCCAGTTACATTTAGAAAAACACAACAATAAATTTTTGTTGTTGTCTGAAATGCTGACAATACCCAAGAGATCACATTACGGTACTTCAAATCTCATCGCAAATTAAGGTTCATGGCCCTCAAAGAACTGCTTCATGGCCCCCAGGGTTCCCATGGCTCCTGGTTGAGAATTTGGTACTCCCGTAGCTTGTGAACCACATTAGGGTTAGAGCATAATTTTGTTCCGATTTTCTTATTTTTAGTTCTATTACGAGTTTGGGGACTGTCTTTGTTAGCCATGTAAATATACCCCAACCCATAGGTTTCAGTCCCTTTACACAGCTTGATGTAAAATGGCGAACAAAATTAGTTACCTCCATAGCGGTACACACACTTCTGAACCGCCAAGAATTCTTCTTTTTTATCTATATATTTGTATCATATGAATCATCTTCATATCGTTGTGATGTGAAATCAATATTAAACGGCCATAATTCATTTAGTATTGACAAGTAAGCCTAATCGATCAATAACTAAATCTAATTATAATGTTTGTAGGATTGAATAAACGTGAGAAATCAATAACTTTGCCTTTGTTCTATGAATTGTAATAGATTAAATGCCATTGCTTAAAAAGATACATTCATAAAAGGTTCCCCTGTTTATCGATTTTATAATCCTGATTCATATGACTAATATTATTATGGGAATGTGCAACGGCCTAACAGGTAAAGCATTGGACCTAACTGTGCTGGCATGCCATGTTTCACATCTCAGGTTCAAATCCCACTCCCACAACCTCACCCAAGGTGTAATAATTTGGGTAGGCTTACTTACATACTCCTCACGTTTGTTAGATACCAGTGGCTGCTTGTACAGGGTGAGTGAAAGGCCTGAATAAGCATGGTATATATATATAAAAAACTGGAGTCATGATATTTAGCCAAAATTTTTGCTGTTCTGTTTTATTTTAATTAAAAGGGAACACTTTTTTATTCAGTGTTGCCCAACCCCTTGTGTATAGTTTAGCTTGTCTGCTTCTGTTTTTAGTAAACTGTCTATTTTCAGGTTTTACTGTGCCAAGTGCATCCTTTGTGACCAAATATTTGAGCATTGCTCTGTTATCAAATCATTCATTCAAAAAAATTTGCTCCAAAGAAAGTTTTGATTTAGGTTTCGTATTAATTGACATCTGATAACAGACTTGACAAAGAATTGAGAAATGTTAGCGGTCATTCGCAACTTTATATTAATTTGTTTTTATATACAACATATTTATATGCCTTTCCCTTCAAACAAGACTAAATTTCTACCATAGTTAAGAACAGTGGTGCCCGTGGGACAATTACGGCCCATGCAACGATTTAATATGGCCCACCGATCTTAAGTGAAATAGTTTAACACTTCATGTATTTTATCTTTTTGCGCTCTGGATACTGCCAATTGTTACATCATTGTCACAGTTTAAGCATGTTTTTATTTGTCGTACAAATTCCATTATTAATGGTATTTTAATTATACATACTGGTATTGGTATCGGCCCCTTGCGTGTCCTTCCCTCTCTTAGCCCGCAAATATCTGTTCTCTTCTAATTTTGATCTCCGGTCAATCAACTTTGGGGGAACCACTGGACTTCAGGAGGATTAAAATCTTACAGATTCAGAATTTTCCAATTTATTACATCCTTGGTAAATTGATGGACATGAGATTCAGAACTGAGTTTCTGGTACTCCCGTAGTATGTGTACAAGGTTAAGGTTAGGCCATAATTTTATTCCAATTTTTCTTATTTTAGTTCTATTACGAGTTCGGGATTGTCTGTGTTAGTTAAGTGAATATACCCCCAGCTCATAGGCTTCAGTCCCTTTACACAACTTGATGATAAGTAGGCGAACAAAATTAGTTACCTCCATATTGGTACACACACTTTTGGAGCTCACACATTTCTGGAGTACCGAGTTTCTTTCACTTTTGGGTTCTTAATGACCTATGAGGAATTACTATTAATGAAAAAAAAATGACGACTTGAGCAATGTTGAAAGTAATTTGCTTGAAATATAAATTCTCATGTGAGAAAATTAATAAAATTTGAATTAAATTTTTATTCGACCACAAATTGCAGCAATTTTGTTTGAAGTTTTTTTAAATAAAAAGTAACGAGTTTGTTTTCAAAGGTTTCGCCTAGTTTAACAAGGAAAATATTTTGAAATTTGTCAATGTCTTCACTTTAAAACGCAATATTTAACTCTTACTTTAGTCAGCACTGTGGCCGTTAGAGATGAGAATAACAACAGCTAGTCTTGAATTTTATTTTAAAATTTTGAACGAAATGATATATAATTGTACTTTGTGTAAATGAGGGTTCAGCGCAGTGATGGCACTGGTTAAATGTTAGGTGAACAATACCTCATTGAAAAGTAACCAATTCTGTAATGATTTAAATAGACCAACAATTTGGGCACCCAGTTTCGTTGTTGCAATCCTTTGTATTAAGACAAAATAGTTATAATATTATTTCTGCCTAGTGTTGATTCCCTTGCATGATATTTGGTCATCCAATCATCTTAGTAAAGATTAAAAAATGGATCGACTGCGAGATACATTTTCCTCCAAGCGGCGTTTAGCAAAGCGAACTCCAAGATTGAAGTCTTACGTATCATTTAGCGACAATGCTCCTCGCGAGACAAGAAGCTTCGACATGGAGGAAGAAATTTTTGTTGAAGAAAGCCTTGGCGAAGATTCTAAAAGAAATTTATCGACTCGAAAATCTGGGAGTCGCAAAAAAGGACTTTTTCATCAGTTGACTTCAGCAAGTTTCAGAAGGAGCTCTAGCCTTCGAGATCCAGGGACGTCGAATAAAAATTTTAATTGGTTTTCCGAGAATGAAAGAAGTTTTAAAAAATTTTCAGAAAAACGCAAGAAAACTTTAGTGAGAACATCAAATATTGAAGACCAAGAGAGTGCATTTATGGATTCTGATATTTCAGGCAACTTTTTAGCATCCTATGCTAATCAACATAACACTCAAGAACCGCCAAACATATCAACTGCTCCACATAAAAATGAAGATAAATCAGAAACAACTTTACATGTTGAAGAAACAGCAGGTTTTGCATTGGAGACCTTTGCTAGTGAAGGTAGCGAAACTGGCCAACTGGAAAAAGGTACAGATAACAATAAAAGGTTTGAAGAAAATGTAGCTGATAATTTAGAAGCAACCAAGAATTTGCCCAATATTTATGGAGATCCACAGAAGCCTAATGAATGTAAAATAAATGAGCCTGTTCTACCAAAACCAAGTTTGGTAGAGGTTGTTGAAAGCACAGGAATGCCCAACACTGCTTCTGACTTGTCAGTTTCTTCTCAAGATAAAACAGAAAGCACTATCGGCTATGATGACAAAAATTCTACTGTTACTCATGAGAATAATACCGAAGTGTCTCCTACTGGAGGTGAAACAAATGAAGATTTACAAAACATACACATCTATACAGAGAACAAGGAGGAAAATACGGCACCAATCATGTTGGATTCTGTGGAAAATGTTGATTTTCAAAAGAGTGTTGCTCATTTTAAAGGTGAATTCATTGGTAATCAAGAAGATGACTTTGCAATCAAAAAAGGCTCACAGGCTGAACTGTCAAAAGATCCCAACCAAAGTGCTAGTGTAACTGTTATGGACTCCACCATTATGCCCTCGGAGAATGCTGAGCAATATACAATAATTGATAGTGGAGTTCCTGCTGGTTTGAAAGATTCTCTTATAACTGTTGTTGAAGTCTACCACGCACCGAATGTGGAATCCTCACAAGATTTAAAATCTCGGGAACTTGAATCAAAAATTGAAAATAATGAGAATGGAATAATGAAATCAAATATGGTAAACCCACAGAATGAAGCGCCTGGCAATTTTGCAGTTGATCAAAGTGGTCGACTCCCTTCAGATAAAAGTGAGTCTGAAACGGTTTATCCAGTCTCGTCCATTGTGGTTGGAGACAGTACAGAAGTGGAAAATGACTTGTTTCCTATTGATGCTGCTAAAACAAGCACAGAAGGCCTTGATTTTTTAGACCAGGCATTTGGAGATG